CAGTATCAGAGATACCTTTGCTGCATTAGCCATACCTGTTTGAGGCCAAGAAGTAGGAGGTTTGCGCCAGATCCTTGCATGCTAAAATATATCACAGTGTTATCAATTGACAATTGCTCTAATTAGCACGCAGCCATTGCATTGGAATGACATTTGTATATTGTTGGGGATATATTTTGTTTTAGAGCATGGTGCCTACCTTTGACCAGCTGGCACGTGCGCACCACATGCGTGTGCGGATGATCGATGGCCACGTCGAAGCCGAGCGTCTGCAGCAGTACGTTCTCATTGAAGACGAGCTCCTGGGCGAGATCTGCATAGGTCTGTTCGGTTGTCTGTGGCAGGCACTTGTTGGCCGCTCTAATCACATGCTCCAGCTTGCGCGGCTGCTCCTCCACCTTGGCGGCCAGGAACAGGCTGGCCGAGGCCATGGAATTGCGATGGAAATGTGTAAACGAGTGGAACGCATAGAATCGATGCATATAAACAATTGCCGTATTTATGCACAGCTGCGACACCTGCAGCCGCTGGCCCATCTCCTGTATCAAGTACGCCGTCATTTGTCTGTAGTGCAGCTCATCGTCGCACTTGATGCCGCAGCGGCGGCTGGGCGAGTTGCCCAGCTGCTCGTTGCTGAAGTACCAGATTTTGTCCTTCTCAAACGGTAAATTGTTGTTGTTGTTGTTATTATTGTTGCTGCTGCTGCTGCTGCTGCTGCCGCTGGCGGCGACGCTGCCCGTTGCTGTTGAGAGAGCCGCAGCGCTCGGGACGCCCGCGGGCGTTGCCAACAAACTCATGGCTCACACGCACAAACAGACACACACGCGTTGACTATGTCTTCTTCTTCTGCTTCTATTGCTGATGCTTTGCGATTTGTTAAATACACATGCAAGCCGTTTTCCCGTTGCGAATCGAAGAGACAACACAACACGCACAGTTTTACAGCGATTTGAATTAATTTCAATAGATGTTTTGGCTTGGCAGCTGAGTCAAATATTATTGTTGTTGTCGTCGTCGTCGTAGTAGGAACTGTACGATTGAGAAGAAGAAGCAGAGCCAGAGTCTCGTTTTTCTTTGTCGGCCGTAGCAGCAAATGCGTTTGTATTGGTATTGTACTGGCTTGTGGCGTGGTGTAGGAGGGAAAGGTGGCTGACGCTGCTGGCTGGGCTGCTGCTGCTGTTGCTGCTGCTAATGCTGCGCGTCTGCTGCGGCTGCCACAACACATTTGCTATGGAAAGTAGCAAAATGCACACTCGATTTCGATTTTAGTTTAGTTATTTGTGTAGTTTTCACACTTTTTACGCCATTCAAAATCTGCTTTTTCTGCTGTTTTGATGGCGTTGAGTGTGCGCTAGTGTGTGTTAGTGTGTGTGTGTGTGGTTTTCTGGAAATTGCGACTGCTCAGCGACGGACATACATAGACGAGCCCGACGACGTTCGTTATGCAACTTGTACATCAATTCATTGTTATCATTGTTGTTATTGCCTTTTCGCCACACAAAAACATCTCATTTTTGTTCTATAATTTGCAATGCAAATGCATCGCAAAAATGTGATTTTGGTTTTGGAACGCACAATGACACAAAAAGAAAAAAATGTATGTATGTGTATATGTATTTACAGTATGGCCGTCGCAATCGCACTCGCACATCGATACCATTTATATCGCTATGCTAAACTATCGGCAATGGCATGGCCACGATGCGCGATATTGTGGTGGTATTTTCACTATCGATATACACTGTTAAATGCAGCCTTCGAATTTTAAAACTTAAATTAATTATAAATAAAACTAAATTTAATATATGTCAATAACTTACTATATCTGCAAAAAATTAAGTATTTTAATGGAATAATAAAAGAGCCAGAGCAGCGTTTCATGCGCGGTCAACTAACATATGCATAACAGTGCCAGTTTAACATTAACAGAGGTCGTGCGCGGTGCGCATGTTAAATAAAGGTGTCATAGCAGCTAGCTTTTTGACACGAATACGCCATAACGTGTTCCGCAATTACAAACTTGTTTAACAAAGTTATCATATTAACAAATACTTAAGATGATATAAATGGAAGTTGTTTTTTAGTCTCATTTATTAATGTTATTTATAAAACAGATAATATATAAGTATGTATATATATTTTTTTATAGCAATCTGTAGATTAAAATATACAAAATTTAGCTAAAAATCTTACAACTCTAACGTTTCCATAACAGTAAATAATTATGCTATTTCCATCAGATTTTCAGATTTCATATTTCCATAAACCATTACCTTCTTAATTGTTGACCCATAAAGTCATCTTTCGCTCTTTTCCCGATCTAATTTCTAATTTGTGGCTCGCATTTGCTGATTTTCATGCAGACGTTTTTTTTTCAATCGCCTGAAGAATATACATAAATGAAACTTAAGTGTGTAGCACAGTGCTTAAATATAGCTGCACATATGATTAGGTATATATATATATATATATATAAACTACATGTTATCTCTTCAACAGATTCGCTAAAACCGTTTCCCACCCAACTTCGACTAGCTAATGGAGACCTTTCCCGATAATCCAAAACGAATTGCATTCAATATCAAACTTCATAAATTAGCTCACTCGATCTTAGATCTAATTCTTCTCTCTTTCATTTTAAGTACCAATAAAGTAAGTTTTCGCCTTAGTTCTGCTTATCCTTCAGATCTTTCTTCTTCTTGAAAATCTAATCTTTAATTTAATTGGTCTTATCCAGCATTTGTTTCATTTTGTTTTCGGTTGGTTCCGATCCAATTCAACAAATACACACATCTATATAATTGTTGTAAATACATATATATGTATTAATACGTATTTAATCCTACGACTAATAAGTGAAACATGAGGTCCAGAAGTTGATTATATACAATTACAGTGCACGATCTCGGATTTCGAACCCTTGCAAAACATAATATTTCGATGCTATATCCTTGAAAAAGTTCCAATTGAATAAAAGAGAATGCAAAAACTGGAGAAATTCTTCAAATAAAACCTTTCTGCTGTGGCTTCGAGTTGTAAAGCTGTGGACTAAGTTAATTATCGGCTAATCTGACCGATTTTCGTTGCACTTGCGCACATATATCTTTTTGTTTTCGTATTGTTCGATTGTTCTATGTGTAAATTGTTCAAACTTCAGCTTAAACTCTATAATAAGTATATATATATTTAGATAGACACTTGCTGCTCCCGTTCTCATAATCGAAACCTCAAAAACTGAGTCGTCCTCCTCGTCTCGTAATAGAGCCCAAGCACATACTACTACAATACATGAAAATGTCTGGCGCCTAAGCTATATAAAATGCACGGTCTAAATTTATCTAAAATATTCAATCTGCTCGTAGAATAAATATGCTATTGTATAGACTATATAGAATTTGAATATATATATATATATACTATAATTGTTTCATAACTTATCTCTTATATGCACTTTAAATGGGAGGTATATGTAGATTTCAAATTTGTAACGGGTTGCAAATATTTGTATGTTCTTTTGGATCGAAGATCTATTTGTTTTGATCGATTTATCGATTTTGTTATCGATATTTCGAATAAAGTAAAACGCATGCATATTGAAATAATAATTTTATTTTAATAATAAAAAATAAAAAATAATCATAAAAAATGTTTACAATGAACAGAGTTAAACTCAAAACTCACTTCCGTTTATTATCATCATCATCATCATCAGCATCATCATCATCATCATCATCATATATATCATTATCATTCTTTCAATCATTGAACAAAAATCGAAAAACGTAAACTCTTTCACTCAGTTGCTCTAATAATAATAATAATAGACAATGGATAATGGATAATGGATAATGGATAATGGATAATGATAAAGGTACTTAGAAGAACGCAACTACATAAGTATAAAAGAAATATTGAATAGAATAGAACTAGGAGTTTGTTGGTATCTTTTAACTTTCTTCTACTTTTGCTTTAGTTTAACTTTAGTTTAGTTTATGCATTTAAGAGATTGCACGTTTGGGCAGTGTTTGGAAATTGTATGTGTGTGTATGTGTGTTTGTGTGTGTGTTGCATTTGCAGAACTTGGAACTGTTTTTTTCTTTTTTGTATATTGGTTGAGTTGTGGCAGTGTGACGTAACAAAAAGCGTTTACAAATATATTTCAGACATAAACTTCAGACCAAAAGTTGTTTGTTTTGTATTTCAAGTTGATTTCGTAAAGAATGGTTATTTGTTTTTTTTTTTCCAGAGTTTTTCTGTTTTTAACTGCTTGTGGTTCATTTTTGCGGAGCTGGTTCTTTTGAACCGTGCAGCTCCGCTAAGTGAACCACACAGAATTAGTTGCTCTGCTGCTCCGTGTTTTTAGTTTGTTTGTTTTCTGTTCTTTAAATATACAAAACTTAAAAGTTAATAATTACAAGAAAGTTGTTGACCACAGGCTACAACATTTGTTGGGCGCGTCGCCGTGAACGGGTCTCTACTGTGGCTCCAGTTAGGATATTGGGCAGGGTATATAGGTATATAGGTATATAGAAGAAACACTTAAATAAATAAACTATCGATAAGCATAAACCTAATTAGAACTATGAAATATTTCTCATCTCTTTATAAAATAAGCAACAAAAACAATGAGCCCGAAAACGCACACAAATACAGTTATCTTCTCTTTAAACTACTTTGTAGAACTCGTATGCTACGTCTGGTAGTGTATGTGTATGTAACCGTAGGGTGCTTGGGCTAGAGGGGAGAAGCGGGCATAGTTAGGGGGGAGGGGAAGTGTGGTTAGGGTATTAGTTATATTAGGCTAGGCTTTGTTGTAGGTGTATACAGTAATTCGTAGCTATAAGTTTTCACATACACATATCAAATATCAATAAGAACTCTTCATCGATAATCAATCATCAATCAATCAATAATAATAATATAATAATAATAATAATAATAATAATAATAATAATAATAATAATCAATAATAATAACAATATGCATTGTAATAATAATTAAATGTTACAATTAAAACACTAAAGCCAATGAATAGATCATTAATTACTACAGAATTTTACGTTTTAGCATGTTTGCTTCTCTGTATACATAATAATTATTTACTATGTATATATACATTATACATTATGCATATGTATATGTATGTGTGTATACATATGTATATGCATAGGCCTAGCAGCTATGTAATTTATACTCTCTTCTGCGCTTAAATCTGATGTGTCCTCTCTTAGACCTAACAAAAACTCAACATGTACAAAAAAACCCACCTCGCATTGATCGAAACAATTAAATGTAGCTTACCACACAGATACATATGCACAGGCCGTACATGCGTGTACGCATGTGCGCGTGTGTATGCATGCATATATGTAGTTTGGATGTTTCTGCTCTTCCTCCTCTCTCTCTCTCTCTCGTTCTGTTTTATATGTATATTTCTACTATTGCCGCTAGCCGGTTCAGCTCCCATTCTATTGCCACCGTTTCGGTAAGGTTTACGTCTATTTACATGCTCTCTCTCTCTCTCTCTCTCTCGCTTGCACTTGCGCGCGCTCAGACGCCATTGCAATCGATCTCAACTATGTCCTTGGGCACATCGACAAACTGATAGACCAGCCGCTGACCATCCACCTTGGCCAATATGCCGCGCTGGTAATAGTAGCGCAGGGCGCGGCCCATCGTCTCGTAGTTCATGTCCGGCTTGTTCTTGTGCATGCCCCAGAGGCGGGAGACGGCTTTGGAGTCGACCAGCTTGAAGACGCCCTTTTCACGGTTCGTCCACTTGATGAAGCGCGGACAGTATTCGCGATCCTGCAGCAGCTTCAACAGAAACTCCCACAGGTAGGTGGTGGAGCCCTCGCGACTGCGCCGCTTCACGCCCATCTCCAGCTTCGGTTTGCGCGGCTTTTTCGCCTTGCGCTGCTGAAAGCCGCCCAGCTCCAGCATATAAGAGAGATCATAGTTGACGCTCGACGTCGCCGGCTGCTGTATGACGCTCTGCGTGCTGCCGGCGCTAAGCATTGCGGCCGCTGCGACGGCGCTGCTGCTGCTCACGACCGATGCTGCTGCCGCCGCCGCTGCCGCTGCCGCAGCATTGGCAATTGTGGAATGCGTGTGCTGTGGTGTACTATGCAGCTGGTGGGGGTGCGTTGACGCCAGCTGCGCTGCCGCCAGCTGTGACTGTGAGTGCTGTTGTTGTTGTTGTTGCTGCTGCTGCTGTTGCTGCTGATGATGCAACTGTTGCTGCTGCTGCTGCTGGTGATGTGACAATTGTTGCTGCTGTTGCGGCGCGTGCTGCGCCTGCTGCTGCTGCTGCTGATGTTGCAGGGAATGATGCTGATGTGTGCCAAAGCCATTGGCAGCTGCGCTGCGCTGCGACGACGCTGCCGCTGGCGCATTGAAGTAGGACGTTGTCAGATAGCTGGGCGCGCCGGGCGTGCCAGGATTAACGCCTCCGCCGCCGCCGCCACTGGAGCCACTGTTGCCATAGTAGTTGTCGGGCACTGAAGAGGAGAATGGGAGAGTGGAAAAGTGTTAAATTTGATTGCACAGTTGCCAGATTAACTAAAATTAATGTGAGTAAATGAATTCTGTAAATGTACTGTAAAGTGAATACTGTAAAGCATGTATATACATAAATAAATACATACATATACATATCAACATTACTTGGCGCATTAATTCAGCCCATTTTGCAGCTTATGCGACCCACTGTGCGCAGCGTTGTCCGCCTGATGTCTAACTATTTCACAGTGCACACGGCTACATATGTATGTATGTATGTACGTGTGTAATTTTGTATGCTATTTAGTAAGTTTTGTTTTACATCCGGCGTCAACGGCGCTGCCGTTGCCCAATTCAACAGCCAGTTGCCCGACGAGAGGTGCATGGATTTGGGGGAGGGGTGAACTAGCTGAGCAAATGACTGAGCGCCGTTGAATAAAATCAAAAGTATTCGCTCACCAACACCAACACACCAACATTAACAGCGGCAGCAGCAGCAGCAGCGAAGAGAGCAACGTACGCTTTCGTTCGTTTTTCGCTCGTGTCTTCACCATCGCATTGTTGCATTAGCGTTGGTGTTGGCGCTCGCATTCGCACTCGTGCTCAAAGCAGGAGAGGGAGACAGAGAGAGAGAGAGAGAGAGCGCACAAAACGGGAGAAGCTCACAGCGCCAGCATTGCCACATTGGCTCTGTCGCTGTCGCTGTCGCTGCTGTTGTCGTTGTCGTTGTGACCTTCACAATTTGCGCAAAGGCAATGTGTCGATGACCACAGATTTTACACAGCGACGAGCACACATACAGACACACAGACACACAAACACACAGACACAAAGCGAGGCGAAAAGCATAAAAGCAGCGAGTGCAACACATTCTTATTGCAATTGATTGTGTCGCGAGTGTGTGTGTGTGTGCCTGTACATATATACAAATGTATATATGGGCGCATGTACATATGTATGAGCCTGCCATTTTTCGATTGCTGAACTTTTACTGCACACATATACACACACATACACACATATGTATTGCATATTCATGTGTATTTGTGAATACTTGATATACTCACCCCCAACACTGCGATTCCATATATTCCGCAACGAATTCGCCGCATTGTTCTGATATAAATTTGGATGCAGAAATGTGCCCGTATGCAGGTGCGCCGCTGCTGCTGCCGCTGCTGCGGCCGCTGCCGCTGCTGAGTGGGTGGCCGCTGCGGCAGCTGCAGCTGCTGATGCCGATGTTGCTGCCGTCGTCGGCATGCCCAGGCGCGCCTTCAACTCGTCGGCGCACGGCTGGCCGCCGGAACTGGAGCTGTCCACGTCGGACACACCGCTATCCGCCGGACTGGGCGGAAATGAACCTGTGCATGCAGTGAATGGGTCAAGATTAACAAGTTGCCAATGCCTTTTTTCTTTCTTATTTTTTTGGGGCATGTCGCTCAACAAAGGGCGTGTGCACTGTGGTTCACCTTGCTGGCAAGCAAGCTGCTTGGCACTCACCTGTTGTGGCCGTCGTGTAATTTCTGTGATGTGGATTGTGGATTGCGCCGCCGCTGAGCAGATTGTGCAGCAATGGCCGATGCGGTATGGCCAAAGGTTGCTGCTGCTGCTGCTGCTGTTGTTGCTGCTGATGCGCATTGTTGTTGCCCTGTAAGCTGTGCTGCTGTTGTTGTTGTTGTTGCTGCTGCTGCTGCTGCTGACTCTGCTGCAGCGGTGTTAAGAGCGCATTCTGCTCGGTCTTGATGTGCAACAATGTTGTTGCACTGCCGAAAGCTTGATGCTGCTGCTGTTGTTGTGTCTGCTGTTGTTGTGTCTGCTGCAGGTGTTGTTGCTGTTGTTGGTGCTGGTGTTGCTGCTGCTGCTGCTGCTGATGAGGTGACGGACTGGTTGATTGTTTGACAATAGGAATTTCAGTATCTGCAAAAAGAAGCGGCAAATTAGTAAAAGCCTGAACGTGCATATGTACATATATATATTTAAATATAGTATATGTTGTGGTTGTTGTCAGCTTAAGCTTAATTATTTGATTTCATGGCTTCGCTGGACACTTGATACGTTTTGCTAAATAGCTGTGCAACACTCGAACTACTTTTAAATGTCTGCCAACTGTTGCGACCCAATTAAAAAACAACTTTATCTCATCAGCCTCAGCAGCAACAACAACAACAACAACAACAACAGCAACAAGCTATTCGAGTGCCGCCCTCTGCGCGTAACCGAGACCTGTCAAAATGTCCGAGCTCACATGAAATGCAAAGCTAATAATACTTAAATAATTCGCAATATACATAATTATACAAAATAGTTGTTGCTGCTGTTGCTGTTATTGTTGTTGTTAGCAAGTTGAGCGACATGCAAAAGTCGCCAAGAGGCTAGAAATATGCGAGCGAAACACACACTTACACACACACACTCACACACACATACAGAGACAAAGTTGAAATGCCCCAATTCGGCGAGCCATGAACTCAAAGCAACAACAACAACCGTTACAAACAATGACAAAAGAAATGCAAAGTGAGAGAAGCAGCAAAAGACAACGAAAAATAACAACAACAGCACAGAAACAAAAAATTGCATCTCACTTTCTTTAGCTGCCTGCTGCTGCTGCTGCTGTTGTTGTTGCTGTTGTTGTTGTTGTGCATTGAGGTGCAACGCAAGAAAAATGCACAAGTTGTTGTTTTCTTTTGAATATTTTGTTGTTGTTGTTGCTGCTGAAAAGTAAAAGTGCATTTTCACTTATTTTATGCGAAACGCCGCGGCGGCTGCTGCATGTGGAAGAAGACGAACAAGCAGAAGAAGGCAAAGCAGCAGCAGAAACGACAAACAACAACAAAAATTGCATTGAATGTCAAGCTGTTCACACACAGCACACAAATACTTATGCACTTGGCCAGCGCATACAGTTGTCTCGCTCGCACAAGTGCAGCGTGGTGCAGGCAAACTAAAAGGCAGCAGCAGCAGCAACAACAACAACAACAGCAGCAGCAATAAAGCTTGCATGCAAGCGTGCGCGCACACACACACACACATGCACACGTACTCGTACACGCATACAGTTGGCAGCAAGAGAGGAAGAGAAATCAGGTCAAGGCTTGTCGGCGTTGTAGTTGTTGTTGCTTTTGGCTTTGCTTTTGCTGTTGTTGTTGCTGTTGCTGGCAGCGGCGACGAGTTTACAATTTATGCTTTGCTGGCTGCATTATTGCATGTTGTACGCGCCACGTTTGATTGTGTGCGCTTTTTTTTTACAGCTTTTTAAATACCTGCACACAGTCGAACATATGCATACACACATACATACATACACACAAGCTTACAGACAATTCGCTGCCTCGTCTCGTTTTAATTCGCCGTGCATTCGCCGTGTTGTGGGTGAATGGGAAGCATGTAAAAAAATAAAAATATATGTATATACATTTATGCATATGATATATTCATATGTTTCATATATGCACATATATATATACTCAAAAGCTGCTGTAAAAATATGGCACATTTACATACATTTGTATTTACACACAAGCCAGACATTCGAACGACCTGTATGTGCGTGTGTGTGTGTGTGTGTGTCTCTGCCAAGTCGTGACGGAAATCGCGGGCAAGCAGCAGCTAAATCAGCTGTGGCCTGCAACACGCTGCCTCAAACCCGCCCCGCAGCTGCCCGCCAACTGCTTCGAGTTGTTCGTTGGTTTTTTTTCGCAGTGGAAAATCAACTTTTATTTCTTTGGCGGAAACTATAAACATTAGACGCAACGCACACACAAGTTTTGACTTGTTTTTAGAGAATTTTCCTTTTCGATTTTTCGGCACTTGGTTTGCCCAAGTCTGGGCGGAAACGCCTGTCAATTGTTGTTGCCTATGTATTTCGCAAATATTTGTTATTTGTTTTTATTTTTTCTTTTCGTTCTTCTGGTTATTAGAGGAAATGCTGCCACGTGAGCGGCTGCTGCAGCGGCCAACAAGGCGTATGCGTAATGTGGCACAGCTGCGAGCGGCAGACGTTGCGTATACGTAATGTCAATTTGTGTGCATAAGTCATTTAGTTGCATGTCTCGGTGACATTTAGAGTAGCAGCAAGTGAGGGATTGTGTGCTTTGTTCTTTTGCGCACCTGTCACACCTGGCGTATGGGCAATGTGCAACAGAGATTACGCATACGCACGGTGGCACACACAAAACGCAGACTGTAAACTGTAACGAAATTGGCAAATCCATTTGAAAGGTGCTCGAAGAGGCACCGTTACGCCCATTTACACACACACACACACACACACACACACACATGGACACACACACGGAGAGGCGCATTAGGCATTGCAATGGTGCGCCAAATGCGCGCTGACCTCTAAAAATGCGGTCTATTAAAAACAAAAATAAAGCCAAACAATTTAATATATTGTGAGAAAACAACAATTGGCCAACATGAGCTGGAGCTGGAGCTGTACAGGTGTGTGCATGTGTGCATGTGTGTGTGCAATTAACGTTAGAGTCATGTGCAGAGCTCCACATACTTTTTTGTTGTTGTTTTTTTGGATATTGGCATTATATTATTATATGTATTTCCCTGCCCGAATTTGGACTTGAACTGCCTCGTTGATATGTGCGCGGCGTTTTGGGACAGTTACATCACAATTCACAATTCACAGTCACAATGGAGCCGCAGCATTTGCGAATAGTAGGTCAATGTAGGTATGCAGCGTACCCGTTGTTGTTGTTGTAGTTGTTGCTCTTGTTGTTATTGTTGCTGCCATGATTAGTTGTTTTTAATGTACACACATTAAATATATGTATGTGTAAAAACAAATTGTGCCAAAGGCTTGACGCACCCCAAAAACAAGCAAGCGATTGCAGGGTATTACAGCGTCGAGCATGCCAAAAGTTGTCTCGTTTGTGTACAAAAGTGTTTTGTTTACAGTTTCTGGCCATTTCCGAGGAAGCAGCTCGTTGTGCCTGACAATTGCAACAACAGCAACTGTTCAAATTGTGTGTGTCTGTGTGTGTGTGTGTGTGTTGTTGTTGTTGCTGTCTCATTGCGGTATTGGCCTATTTTGTATTTAAGTTTGAGCTGTGGGTGCGGGGTTTTTTTCTTACTAACAAGAAATTTATGAGCTTTAAACTGATTTCAGATGTGTTAGGCAAATCAAATGGAGTTTGATTTACTTTTTTTTTTAACTAGAGAGAAGTATGTTTTAAGCAGAAACTGTTTCTATTTTGGCAGCTGAATAGTTTTTGCTCATGTTTGCTGAAGGATCCGCATACATACACACATATAAGTTATATGTAGCATGCATGACAAGAAATAGATAAAATGCTACTTTATTGCACTGCCAAAAACAAAGCTAACGATAATAAAAACCAGCCAAAAATGTGTGTGCATTGTGCATGTGTGTGTGTGTGTGTGTGTGTGTCTGTGTTTCACAGCGAAAGCAATTTGAGTGTGGCAACAACAACAATAACAATAACAATACGGGTAACAGCAACAAATGCGGCGCTGACGACCGATTAACCAAAAGTAATATGCGAACAACAGCAAAACAGACAAAAGAAAGCAACAGCAGCAACAACAACAACAACAACAACAAGAGCAGCAACAACAACAGCAACAGCGACAACGACGACAACAACTCAAAAGTTCTATATTTAAATATTATAATTTATGTGTTTGTTTGGCTATTGTACATGTGCATGCATACATACATACATACATACATACAGATGTACATTCATACATACTAATGTAGAAGTTGTTGCTGTTGTTGTTGTTGTTGCTCTCTTCCCCATTCGCCCATTCCCGTATTGCCATCATGGGACTGCTTCCGTCAGCGAACTCAGTTCCCAGTTCATTCCCACTTTCCGTTCCCAGTTCTGGCTGCCGCTCTCCCATATGCGACACTCTTTCGCTCTCTTCCTCTCGCACTCTCCGCAAATTCCTGTTCTGCGTGTGCATTGTTGTTGTTGCTGCCGCTGCTGGCTTATTTTGGCTTTCATGCCTCTGCTGCGGCGCGCTGTGTGTGAGTCTTTCACATTGCTTGTGTATGGGTACAAAGAATAAAAGCCGCTGTCGGCAGTTGCTGTTGTTGTTGTTGCTGTCGTTTCTTTTGTTCTTGTGTTTGTGAGTCGTCGTCGTCGTCGTCGCCACTGCCGCTGCCGCTGCCTCTGCCGCTGCCGTCGCTGGGCGCATTTGTTTGCCTGAGTCTGTGTGTGTTGTGCTTGTGCGCTTTTTGGAAATTCAGTCTCAAGTTCAAGGTCTCGCGGATAACGCACACACATGCAGACAAGTGCGAGACGCACACACACACACAAACACACATGTGTGCGATTCTTATTGCTTGTTTAAGCTACGTGTATGTATGCATGTTTATGGCGACACATGTACATATGTATGTCTGTGTACTTAAAGCAGCATTTCTCATTATGTGCATCTGTATTGGTGCTGGCTGTTTACTTTTTGTTGCTGTTCTCTTTTTTTTTTTTCGTTTTGCCTTTATTATATGTATACAGTTTGTTTGCATATATTGTAGACATTTAAAAATAAAATAAGGAGCAGCAAAAAATTAAGAAGAAAAAAAAGCGCAGCGACTACAAAAATGATTCCTCAATATTTCCGCATCAAGAATTGATACCAAGTTGTTGTTGTTGTTGTTGTTGTTGCTGTTGATTTGTTGTTGTTGATTTGTTGTTGTTGAAATTTTTATTATTGCTGTCATTTATTTCATTTCACTCTTGATACAGAAATTTCTCGTTGAATACAAAAGGAAATGCATATGTACAGTTGTATGTACGCATGTATGTACGCATGTATGTATGTATGTGTGTATGTGCACATATGTATGTGTGCATATGTGTATTGTAATTTTTGTGAGCTGTTTTTTTTGGTTATTTTGTTTTGTTTTGTTTTTTTTTTTGTGGGCAGCATTT